AAAAAAAAATCTTTTAATGTATAAAACAGATTTTAAAATGCCAATAATGAAACCCAAACCTCACAAAACCCAGAACCTTTTCCTTAACCCAACTAAACACAAAAACCATGATTACATTTCCTTACCCCACAACACGTAACACCCCCCTTACCCCACAACACGTAACACCCCCCTCCCCCATTAATTACCATGAATACAGTACGTCAAACTCTAAACATTGTTATGATAAACTACGCTTGCCAAACAAATGCGGAAACATAACAAAAGCAACTGCTCTCTCTCAATGCCGATTGCCGTGTTCTATACAAAGACAGAATCGAACATCAATGCATCTTATACGGTTTTCTGCTGGCCCTTCTTTCCAATCAGTGACTTGTGGATGTGTGGAATCACACCTGTAGGGAAAGAAACAAAGACACGCCATTAAAATAATATCAGCCCTAAAAATATCCTTTCACAGCAAAGCTACATATTTAATGCAATACACCTTAAATAAATAATAAATCAGGAGTTGAAAAACTCACCTCCACCAGCAATAGTAGCTTTGATAAGCGAGTCCAACTCCTCATCACCTCGGATGGCCAACTGTAAATGCCTTGGAGTAATACGCTTCACCTTCAGATCCTTGGAGGCATTACCAGCCAACTCCAAAACCTGCGAATAAGATGAGCAATGGGTTTGAACGAGGTTGCATCTGGTTAGAGAGGACTCACAGTAAGAGAAATCACAGCCAGCCAAAAATCTGCCACTATGACATCCAGCAGGCTTGTTTAACAAACCGTGCCAAAATAAAATCATTACCTCAGCAGTCAGGTACTCCAAGATAGCCGCGCTGTACACCGCCGCTGTAGCTCCGACACGACCATGGCTGGTAGTTCGGGTCTTCAGGTGCCTGTGGATACGACCTACAGGGAACTGAAACATAAAAACCAATGAACACTCAATATCACTCAGTTAAACTCAACAGCAGTACATTTGTTCTAATCTGGCAGAGGAGTATGTACCTGCAGACCAGCTCTTTGTGATCTGGAGACTGCTTTTGTCTT